GGGAGTCTGCTTCTCCCTCTGACCCTCTTCCCTCTCGTGCTCTCTATCTCTCATTCTCTCTCTCTCAAATAAATAAATAAAATCTTTAAAAAAAAAAAAAGAATTCAAGTTTGAGATTTGTTCACTTGGGGAAAAAATCAGAATAGATTCAAGGATATCCTGTACAGAACGAACCTTCTTTTTTACATAATTGCAACAAATGGCAATTTAGTATTATCTTTAATACCTGAGACCAAGTATTTGTAAAATTTTAATTTTAATACATTTTAGATTACTGTAGTTTTATGTATTGACATTTAAAAGTTTATGACTCACTGTCAAGGACTAACTCAATAACTTAACATGAAACTACTAATTAATGAAATATATGATGAAATCTTTTTAAATTTTATTTATTTATTTTTATTAACATATAATGTATTATTTCAGGGGTACAGGTCTGTGACTCATCAGTCTTACACAACACAGCACTCACCATAACACATACCCTCCCCAATGTCCATCCCCCAGCCACCCCATCCCTCCACCCACCTCCCCTCCAGCAACCCTCAGTACGAAATCTTTTTTAATTGTTCAAGGCTGTTTATTTGCTGACATGCTGACATCCCATTCTCCACCAGGTACACAACATCCTTGTTATTCTTTCTCTCACTGTGCTCTGCTTTTTTCCTTTCTAACTCTTACACATCTATAATCACAGTAGATTCCCCCGTACCTAACACAGCTAGACTGGTACGGTAGGGCAGTTAGTTTTTAAAAGTCAGTTGACATAGGGAGTATCATAAATAGCCTACTCACCTTGTATTTTATTTTAACTTAAGATGTATAAATATATACTTTTTCATTTTCTTTAATACATGGTGAAGGCTTATTGGTTCACTGATAGGAGTTTTGTGCCTTTTCTTGTACATACCCCATACCTATAAAGTTTTGCCTACCATAACAGATTCAACTGACATAAGCAGGTTTGAGAAAAGACATATCATTCTCATTCACTTACACTCTGAAGTGTTTTCTGGAGTATGTGAAAGAAAGGTGCAGTGGGTCTGTGTCAGTTATGAGCCTCCTTGTTATATGTCTTATCAGAGAGATGGTGGGGAACTGCTGTTCTGAAACCCAAATCTAATAGTATTATCCCCAGCTTCAAACCCTTTGATGTCTGCCACTTGCATATAGGATAAAGTCATGGTACCTACAGCATAAAAGGCCCCCACCATATACAGGATAAGAGCCCAACATACGAGATCTGCTGTGATACTGCTTACTTCTAGCTTGATCTCTACTGTTCCCATCCTCTCTTAGAAAACTGTGATTCCTTGAATGTACCAAGCCATTTAATGACTCCATCCTTCTACAGCTACTGTTGTCTGTCTGATACACAGTAACGACCCCACCTGCTGCCCAAACAAAGGATTATCCAGCCCACAATCAAAATGTGGTTTGTATAACAGTTGAGAGACCCTTGGTCAAATGTATTTTATAGTCCTTTATAATTCTGAGATTCTCTGATTATAGGGTCTCTCTTTTTCTGAAAGTAAGGAATTCTTTGGGAATTACTTTTGTGAGTTTTAAATTTCTCCTCATGACATGTTTTCATCTTAATACCTATGCATTCTTAGAATTAGAACCACTTTTTCTTTTCCTGCTGTGAGCCTTGTCATGTATTAAAATCACTGTAGAAATGAGTTTCATTGTCTCCAAGGAGAACTAGGAACAGTATAATTGTTATTCAAATTCTGCTTGAAACTTAGAAACTTATTACTTACTGTATTTTCATAGGAAAAAAGCTCATATAGCTTGATACCTTGGGGAGAGATTTGGGAACAGAATCTCACAGAAAATTTAAGTGAAGAAGATACTTGCCATTTTTATGAAATTGGTATTTTTACCAATAACTGTTTTTGAATGCCAGTGGTGTTATTGTTGACAGTTCATATTCCTTTCCTGCCCTCCAGTCTTAAATCTGGTAAGGCAGGTTTGTTCCTGTTGTATATCAAATTGCATTCCTTCATAGGGAGCCAAGTGGTTAGATTTATGACCTTGATCTGCCTTTTTCTTGTATCAGTGGTCATTGCACTTATTTTCTAGAAGTGCATACACAATTTGCATACTTCTTTTTTGTTTTCTGTCCTTAACAGACTCACTGCTAATAAAACTATTTTGTTTTCAAGATTTCAGAAGTAAGCAGCTGTGTTCCAATTATTCCTTGAATCAGTGAATAATTTTAGTGCATGTGTTCAGTTATTGTTCATCTCTTAATTTTGCTTCTGTTTTCTTATAAATGATTTTTTACAAAGAAAAATGAAAGTGGAGAATTGAAAGAAAAACAATTTCTTGTTATTAAGTAGGTAAAATAGTATTCCCATCTTAGAAGTGAAGTAACCGCCACAGCTTAGAACTGAAAAAACTTTCTACATGGGCTTATAAATAAGCAGACAACTTTATCCTTCAGCCATATCCATCATGCGTTAGTGAAGTTGGAATCCCTCATCATGACTCTTTGTAGCTTGTTTTTCTTCCGTGGAATGCTGTCCTTTACTTCAGTAAAGTTTTGGATCTTCAAATATTTTGAGTGTCTTTTCCCAAAACTCATAAAATTATAGTGATTAAAAAATACCTCTCCGTCTATTTTGGCTTAGAGGATGAACAAAGTACTTGAACTTCTCAGATAAAAAGCTTCAAAATACAAATGTTTTCACAAGGACTTTATATTCTTTTCTTTAAATGGTATAGTGCATTTTTGTACTTGAGATTGTCCTTAGAATCCTCTCAGTCTTTCAGCTCGAAACAAAGATATATATGAAAGCAGAATTTTATTTTTTTTTAATTTTTAAAGGACTCTCTCTCTCTTTTTTTTTTAAAGATTTTATTTATTTATTAGAGAGAGAGAGATAGCGAGAGCAGGAACACAAGAAGGGGGAGTGGGAGAGGGAGAAGCGGGCTTCCCACCGAGCAGGGAGCCCGATGCGGGACTCGATCCAAGGATCCTGGGATCATGACCTGAGCCGAAGGCAGACGCTTAACGACTGAGCCACTCAGGCGCCCCCAAAGCAGAATTTTATTTATTTATTTATTTATTTATTTTTTAAAGATTTTTTATTTATTTGAGAGAGAGAATGAGAGAGAGAAAGAGAGCACATGAGAGGAGGGAGGGTCAGAGGGAGAAGCAGACTCCCCACTGAGCAGGGAGCCCGATGTGGGACTCGATCCTGGAACTCCAGGCTCATGACCTGAGCCGAAGGCAGTCGCCCAACCAACTGAGCCACCCAGGCGCCCCAAAGCAGAATTTTAAATGATGGTTAAATCTTAAATCTAGGCCGCATTGCCTCCAAAGTGTTTTGTGGGTAATTACCTCTTGAATAGAGCATGAAAGGAATTTTGATTTCTGAAGAGTGTGTTTAATAGACAACACGTTTCATCTGTTTAAAAAGGTTTTTACACTTTGCCTATCTACATTATCTACAGAAGCCTGTGATCTCTGTTTCTGAGCTCTCCTGTCTTCATCTGAAAAAAACAAATGCAATAGACTGCTCAGTAGTACTTTCTAGTCTCATTTTTCTTGTTGATTTTTCTGTCAAGTGATGTGTGCATTGCATTCAATAGGAACACATTATAAAGTCTGGGCAAGTGGGCATGTGTTGATATTCTTCTATCTTGACGTCTTGAGCACTGGCACTCTTTTAAAAATGAGACTAGCAAGAATCTCTAGGTAAGGCTTTTTCAGATTATGATCAATGCCATAAGTGACAATGCATGAGGATAGTGAGTCATAACTAAAGAAGACTCCTTGTGTGTTATGTGACTCTTTAAAAATGTAATAAATACAGCTCATAAAATTTTTGATAATGTCTTTTATTTTGAGAAAAGTGTTCTCATAATGCTCTTAAGAAAGATATAACAAACTTTAGCAACTATATACAACAGATGAAAAAATAGGATTTTAATCTCTTGGCTGTTTCATCAAGCTTGTCTTTGGTTGGACTTGTGTTTTCTGAATGGTGTGTTTTGAGAGTCCTTAAATCAAAACATTCTTTCTCCTGTTGTGTGACTTTTAGTAAAAGATTTCTCTTCCTTAGGATTATGCCTCTTGGTTCTTCAGAGCCTGGCTAGAGCTAGATAGCTTGATGTGTGGTTGTTTGCTGAGTTTGCTCATTGGTTTATTTGTTCAATATTTATTTAACAAATATTTGTAGAGTATATACTATGTGTCAGGCACTTTGTTACAACTCTATCTGGTATTTTTTTTTAATCATTCCAGGACTGATGAGGAATATTTTAATATCTCAAGATGGTGTTAACTTGCGATCATGTGTTTTCAAAACAGAAGCACCTGGCTCATTGTATTGTTCCACTCTGAGGCAACATTGGGGGACCAACATCCCCATCCTTAAGCTTGTAAGGATCATGATGCTTGCGAAGCTGTTTCAGGTGTTTTGTGATGGTTCATAACTACTGCTTGCTGCCTGCCTATCCTAATTCCCTAAGTGATGAGGAACTCTTCTGTGAGCCTCTAGCCCTTGGTGAAGCTCTTTCAAATGTCACCACTTTCTCCCACTTGTCACCCATTGTACAAAATTCATGCTCACTTAAAACCATGTAAGCTGCTTACGTGAGAGTTGCAAATTATGTGTTTTATTAGATATTGTCATGGACTTAGCATGTGATCAGTAAGCCTTATTTAGAACTGTCATTTTAAAAATGTACTTAGATAAAAATTACTACTTTGGATGCTATATAAATTGACAAATAGATCATTTCTTGTTATATAAGTGTGGAAAGGTACTGCTGCCAGCCATTTTGCTCTCAGCAAGGCTTCTGAATTGCTTCTAACAGTAGTGGCTTGTGTTGTACCTTGTCACAGAGAGACACCTTACCTCAGGTCTCCCAGTAGGTCAGTGGCAGAAGTATAAATGAAACATTGGTATATAGCTTTAACATAAGACAGCAGAGCTTGCAAGGTTACATTTTGCTTTCCCCTTGTCTCCTCTTTCTTTTTAAAGGAGTGGTGAATGTGTTGCTAACAACTCCACTCTGGGTGGTAAACACCAGACTGAAGCTGCAAGGGGCAAAATTTAGGAATGAAGACATTGTACCAACCAACTACAAAGGTATTATTGGTAAGTGTTTGTTGAGTGAGTTCCTCTTTAAGGAGTTTCTTTTCTCTCTGTGTCTGGAATTTATTGCTACAATAATGCTTCATATCAGACAGCCTCAAATCTCCACAGGTAACGGTAAGCCTTTGTTTAGCTCATGTGTCTATGGATTGACAGGGATTTGACTCATCTAGATCAGCCTACACATATGCTTCTCTTGATGATGGCAAAAGCACAAGAGGACACATCCAATTGTAAAAGCCCCTGTTTGCATCTCGTTTGCTAACATCCTCTTGGCCAAACCCAATGTCAGGAGGTAGAGAAGTATGCTGTAGTGTTGGTGGGAGGGGTCAATGTTTCTGAAGAATAACCTACACTGTTTCTGTTAGTGTTGTCTTTGGATAAAGTTATCATTAATATCTGATGACTTTGAGTTTAATAATACTACGTTACCTGGTTCTCCTTTCCCATGTATCTGTCTTGGTAATGAAAATAGTGGTTTTCTTTTAAGTCATATCCCAAGTAATGGATCCCAGGGTACTCTCTGTTGTCCTGGATTTTGCTGTGAAACACATGGGCTATGCGTTCACAATTCTCTGTAAGACAGAGTTCTCAGTCATGGTGGTGGTGATTACTTAGGAAAACCTGACATTCTAATACCAGATTGTCAGGAAGAGTTGCCTGTGATTTAAGTTGGTCTGTCAATAACATGGTGACTGTCAGTGTCTGATGATTATCAAAAAGTAGTTAACTGATGAACTTGCCCCTAGACTATCATTGCAAGAAGGAAATTTTAATAGAACCAGTATGATTTGTGTTCTGGGTACATTTGAACAAAATTCATATTGTGTTCTCCGGTTAGGGGATTGTAATCAAAAGTCCTTGATTTCTTGCTTAGATGCTTTTCACCAGATCATTCGAGATGAAGGAATCATGGCTTTATGGAATGGCACATTTCCTTCCTTGCTGTTGGTCTTCAATCCTGCCATCCAGTTCATGTTCTATGAAGGTTTAAAAAGGCAGCTTCTAAAGAAACGAGCGAAGGTAATCCCTGATTTTGAAAGCAGCAGATAATAATCTCTGACACTCTCTTATTTGGATTGATGTGGTTTGCTCTTTCTTTGCTTTCCAGCTTTCTTCTTTGGATGTGTTCATCATTGGTGCAATATCCAAAGCAATTGCTACCACCGTCACCTATCCTCTGCAGACAGTACAGTCAATTCTGAGGGTGAGTGCTGGGGTTCTCCCTCCATTTAGTCAAACAACATTCTGAAGTACATGGTTTCTCTGTTTAAAGCAATGTTAATAAAGCAATAAAGTTGTCAGTTGGTAGGCTATACCATTTTTCCACTTGTTTGATAATTGCTAAGCAGGCTGGCTATCAGTTGGTTTCCTCTTTGGTTTGGAACAAAGTTTACATTTGTAATTTCTTAGGTAACATAGTGTCTCAGAAAACCCAAATGTGGGAGGAGGTTCTTTAATGACTTTAGGAATGTATAAGCTTGTTTCCTTCTCATTTAAGTTGACTTGCTTAGGTTAATCATACAAAATCAGAAGTTGATTTGTTTAGTTCATTCAGGAGGAATTAATGATTTAGTTTTTCTGAAGTACTTTAAAATTTCTGGGTTTTTTCATTCAGTTATTTATTCATTCATCAAGGTATTTATTAAGCACCCACTCTGTGTGAGGAGTGGGTACACATGGTGAGTAAAAATCATAATCCCTGTGCTCATGGAGGTAACAGGAAAGAATAAAATGGTAAATAAGCAAAATAAATAGTTAATTATAAGTTGAGAAAAGAGCTATCAAGGAGGTGAACTGCATTCTGTGATTTGGTAGAGAGGGGCATGTTGCTGATCTTCTTAGACAGGGTGATTAAGGATTGGGCTCCTCTGAGGAGGCATATATAAAAATCAAGACTTACAGGAAGATAAGAACCCAGCCGTCAAAGAGCATTCTAGATAGAGGGAACATGATGTGCTAAGAGCTTGGTGATGACTGAGAACTGAACAGAGGCCACTCTGGCTGGAGAGTGGCTCAAGATGAGATTGGAAAAGTAGCAGGGAAAGCTATCGATGAGGATTCTAGATTTTGTTCTCACCTGAGTGGGAAGCCTTTGAAGGGCTTTAAACTGGGAGCAGTGTGATCTGATTTACGATTCGAGAAGATTCCTGTGGTTGTTGTGTGGTGAATTGGTCCTAGGGTTAAGAGATAAGGGTGGGAAGGCAATCAGGTAGAAGGCCATTTCCACAGTACAGGTGAGAGGTGATGGCGCCCTACACTAAGGTGATAGCAGTGGAGAGGAGAGAGAAGACTTGGACAGATTCATGATCTACTTTGGAGAAAAAAATTGAAGTATTTATTGATAGATAAAATGGCGGTGATGGTGAAAAAAAATTTTTTTAAAGATTTTATTTGTCAGAGAGAGAGTGAGCACAAGCAGGGGGATGGCAGGCAGAGGGAGAAGCAGGCTCTCTGCTGAGCAGGGAGCCTGACGTGGGGCTCGATCCCCAGACCCTGGATCATGACCTGAGCTGAAGGCAGACACTTAACCCACTGAACCACCCAGGCGCCCCGAAAATATTTCAGTTCAAAAAATTTATTACCTTCTGTTAAAAGTGTTTCTACTGATGTGCTGTTTTTAAATTGGTACTTAATTTAAGGGAATTCAGCATCTAAATAAATGTATTTTGATACTTTTATAATGTAAACATATAATGTGAAGAGCTGAGACTGTAGTGGTTCTAACTGATTAGTTTATAAGAACTTTTTAAAGGACTAGAGGGTAAGCCATACCATCAATATCTAAATCTTCATTGTGGGCATGTTTGTTTTCTTTTGAGGGAGTATTTTCCCCATAATTCTCTGAAGTAAAAATTCATGCTTGCTTCATTGAAAAATATTTGTTATTTATTTATTTATTTATTTGAGAAGAGAGCAGAGAGAATGGCAGAGGGGGAGGGATAGGGAGAGAGATTCTGAAGCAGACTCTACGCTGAGCACAGAGCCTGACGTGGGGTTCGATCCCATGACCTGAACTGAAACCAAGAGTCAAATACCCAACCGACTGAGCTACCCAGGTGCCCCGAAAAATATTTCTTATTTTCATTTATTTCAGTGAAAGAGAGAAAATTCATGAAATCTACATACTCGGATATTTTTATTACTCTATACCGTAAGACATTACTCCAACATAATTTCCTCCACAGGTAGAAATTGATCTGTTTTTCTTCTTCCCCAGTTTGGACGTCACAGACTAAACCCAGAAAACAGAACACTGGGGAGTCTTCGGAATGTTCTCTATCTTCTTCACCAACGAGTAAAGTGAGCTTTGTAGATGCTTCACATTCTGTCCTTTCAGCAGCCATCTCTGCCAGGGAGTGGCTGGATCTGCTTAACTTGTACTACTGCCTTCGCAGCGGCAGCCTAGAAACCTCTCCTTGCATGCTGTGCTCAGACATTTCTCATTTTAGGGGCTTAGTGCAATATGGCAGCATTTAGGGAAGTTATGGAAAAACTTCAGGTCTTTATTCTTTGTAACTTAGAAATACTCAGAACTCCTTTAGAGAGGGAAGCCTGCTATCATCTAATGTAGAGACTGTTCTGCCTTAGCAGTGCTGCTGTCAGTGGCTTAGACTGTGACCTCTCTCGGAGATAGAAATAAACAGATATTGTAGAGCCGTAGTCATAGTGAGAAAGGGAGAGGGGAGTAGGAAGAGTAACAATAATTATTGTAATGATGACAGCAGTGCTGATGAGTGTTTGCTTTGTGGTAGACACTGAGCTCCGTACCTCAAACGGGTAATCTCGCTTAATCCTGACAGTGGCCCTATGAGGCAGGTACTTTTGTCATTTCCCTGTATCATTCCATTTAGAGAATCTCAGGGATGTCAAATAAGTCAGGAGCCTCCTTTGAAGCAAAAGCTGCTATAATTTTATAACTGTTCCTAGATATAAGATATTTTGAAAGTAAATACATTTATTATAAAAACAATATGCTTGGGATAAAAAAAAATCAAAGATAAAGAATTGGTATAAAGTTAAAACTAAATGCTCCCCATACCAAGTTGGCAAGAACGTGGAGCAACCAGAACTTTCCTGTGCTGCTGGTGGGAAAATAAAATGGTCCGACCATTTTGGAAAGTTTGGTATTTTCTTCAAAAGTTAAACATACAACTAACATAGGACCTAACCTTTCAAGTTATATACTCAAGAGAAATGAAATATGTCTGTGCAAAAACTTGTACACAGATATTAATAGCAGTTTTATTTGTAAGAGTCAAAAACCGGAAACAACACAAATGTGCCATCACTGGGTGAGTAGACACAAAAGTTACTATATATCTACGTAGTGGAATACTGCTTATTAGAAAGGACTTACTAATACATACAACAACATGGGTAGATTTCAAAATAATTATGCCATGTGAAAGAAGTCAGACAAAAAAGAATTCATACCATATGAGTCCACTTATATAAAATTTAGAAAATGCAAATACAGTATTCCCCCCTCATCCACAGTGTCCCTTCCCATGGTTTCAGGGATCCACAGTCAACCGTGGTCTGGAAGCAGATGATCCTCCTCACTTACCGTCAGAAGGTCAATAGGACCTAACGCCAAGTCACAATATCTACATCATTCACCTCACTGCATCTCATTACATAGATATTAGAGAGAGAGGGAGAGACCACATTCCTGTAACTTTTATTACAGTATATTGTTATTCTATTTTATTATTAGCTATTGTTGTTAATCTCTTACTGTGCCTAATTTATAAGTTAGACTTTATGATAGGTATGTATGTATCAGTTTCAGGCATCCACTGAGGGTCTTGGAACATCTTCCCTCGGGGATAAGCGGTAGCTACGATAGCCTGCTTCTTTGATCCAGGAGTTGACTTTTATGAAGAAAAGCTTTTATTTTTTTTTCAAACCTCTTTTCTTTTAGGCGTTTTGGAATCATGGGACTCTACAAAGGCCTTGAAGCCAAACTGCTACAGACAGTCCTCACTGCTGCTCTCATGTTCCTGGTTTATGAGAAACTGACGGCTGCTACCTTCACAGTAATGGGACTGAAGAGTGCCCGCAAGCACTGAGACACCTCACACTGCAAAGTGCAGAAAGATGCTCAAGATGGGGGGTTCCTTCTGTGTGAAGGGAAGTGATTCCCTTTTTATTCTTGCTGTGTGCACCATGAATTTTACCCTCATTGGCTGGAAGAGCGTCTAAGGGTAAACATGGAATATAGCCAGCTGGACCTGTCCACAACTTTAATTTTTAATTTTATGATGGTTGTTTGAATTTTGTGGGGGAGGCTAGTCTAATGGTCCTACAAAAAAAAAAAACCATTATTGAAAACCTGAAGATGGAAGTTTGTGGGTGTTTATTGTTTTTCTTAAGGTGAACGGACTATTGCTCACATGTGTAATCTTTTCCAGTTAAAATCTTTCTTAAATTTACCAGCTGTTCTTTTCCTCTGATTCTAGGGACACATTTAATACCATATAATTCTCCTCATATACTTTTGTATGTTTTAATCTTGGTATTTTCCTCACTAAAAATATTATGATTGTTCCACAGGCATGACTTTATTTTGTTGAACTTCTTTCCTCCTGCTTAAGGAAAGGTGTCTCCTTTAGTACATGAGCTATTTATTTTGTGGGAGAAATGAAAATGATTAATCCCAAATGATTCTCTTATAAACTATTTGTGAATATCACTTATTCATTAGTATTTGACATAATTAAAAATATTTATTTTGAATCAGCCCTTTCATTACAAAAGGCTTGAAGTTTTTATGTTCATCCATACAAGCCCCATCAAGTCAAGCCCCAATAAACTGTCAACACAGAAGACATTTTAAAAAGATGCCCTTTATTCAGGTACCACATTGGGTTTACAACTAGCTCGTAAAAATCGTAGAAAAGGGAGAAGGAGCAGGTACCCTGTTGAGGCTCTGGAATATTCTCTCCCTTTACAAAGTCTTGGTGGAGGCTATCTCTTTTGAGTATAAACATCTGATTGAGATTATTTCTATTTGGAAACATTTCTTATAGTCGTACTATTCAAAGTATATGCATCAATCAGCAGCATTGACATCACCTGGGAGCTTGTTGAGCATGCGGTCCCAGACCTTCTGAATCATAGTCTGCAGTTTAACAAGATCCCCGGGTGATTCATACTCACATTAAAGTTTGAGAGACCTTAGAGCCCTTGACTCAACAGAAGCTGTGATTGGTTTCAATGATAGAAACCAAGACAAAGATTTTTCTCAAAGGAAAGTTGGAATAAGGGATTAAATAAACAGCCCCTGAGAAAACTGAGTGCCCCACATCATCCTTTACTTTCACCTCATAGTTTGAAGGTGGTTGGACTTTTATTATGCAGCTAGGGGTGAATTTAGGCCTCTCAAGGCCACCCGAGAAGCAAACTCTGAGAGGTCATTTGAGAATAGCCCTTTGGGTTCCTGTGACTTAGTTTTTGTCCCTATAACCAAATGATAGGCTTTTCATTTGTAAGTCTAATTCAGTTGGAGTCAGAGAGAGGAACAATGAAGTGTCTATGGACTCCAGTATTTAGTTCAGTTTTGAAAGTGGAAATGTATTTCTCTTATTTCCTCTCTGGTCCCTGTGGTAATTTCAAAATATGTGATTATCAAGCTCCTGATAATTGGAAGTTGGTTGTGTCGTTCTAGAAAGCAAGATTTAGGAGGGGCTCATAATCTGGGAACTAGACTGAACACTAGTCCCCTACTGAAGACAGAGAATTGGCCCCATTCTACCTTTTATTTTACTTTAAAAGTTCGTGTGTGTCTGTGGTAAGGCTTGGGTGGGAAGCACAAAACTTACTTTGATTTCTATGCAGGAGAAGAATGAACATAAAGGTGCAATGTGTGTGATTTTATTGTTTTAATTATGCAGTTCACTTTGGAAACTGAATTTTGAGCTCAGGTTGGTATGTTAGAATAATTTCCAAGTCAAATTACATAGTTAAATGAAATGTTTACAATGTGAAAATCTATTTGATGCTTCTTTTTTCTGATTTTATGAGCGAACAATTTAATACTGAGGTTTTATGCTCCCTATGAAAGGAAGCTTACAGACTCACTAGTTGAAACTAGGTAATGACTCACCCAGTTTTGTAAAACCTCTGATTAATAATAAGTTATTTGAGAAGACTAAGGAGCTGAAGTGTATACTGCAGAAATGGAAATTTTTACTTTTGATTCTTCATGCCGTTTCTCTAGAATGCGAGGATAAGAGCCTTTGGGGTTATATTAGTGTCACTGCAGTAGAAAACTTAATTTCTGTAAGTATTTAATCTGTGTTCTGAAGTGGACACTGATATTTCTATCCTCCTCTATTTTACAATTAAGTTTGAAATGCAGAAGCAGGACTGACAGTAAGAACATAAGCAGTGGGAGCTAGAATCTGGGGTTTTATTCCCAGCTCAACCACCGACTGACTAGCACGTTACGTCATCTCCTTATGCTTCAGCTTTCTGATGAGTGCAGATAATACTCGCTACCCACTTGAGAGGATGTTTAAGAGCTAATGATGTCAACTAAATCCCTTTATGATCACCAGAGAGGGAAAATCTGAGTGAAACTTTTGACTGTGCCTAGATTTATGTAGCCGTTTTTCTTAAAGCTTCAGCACTTTCTTATCTTATAACCCCCATATCTCTGTGAAGGACAGGGAACAGTGTCCCATTTAAGGAACAAGGAAATCGAGACAGAACTATCAATTGACTTGCCTCATTGGAATCAGGACACGAGTTGAGTTTCCTGCAGTCAAGTGTAAGGATGAAAAGAACGGATTCTGGAATTAGACCTAGGTTCAACTCTGGCCCCACTTCTTACCAGCTGTGAGAACAAAGTGATTACTGAACTTGTATAAAACTCAGTTTCCTCAGCTGGGAAATGGAGGTCTTGATAAACCTACCTGTGATTGTGAGGATTAAAGAGATCATATATATAAATTGCTTAGCACAGTGCTTGCCACGTGAGAAGAGCTAGATAAATGTTAGCAACGACTTTTATCATAATATGGTTATTACTGTCGAGGGGGCTGGCTGTTTGAATAGATCACACCAGTGAGTGGGAATCACTCTGGGTTTTGAGCCAGACCTGGGTTCAGATTTTCATTCTGTTGCTTAATAGCATCCTGGCCACAGACAAGTTGCTTGCTCACCTTTCTGAATCTGTGTCTTCATCTGTCCGATGGAAATGATTACCTCACAAGGCTGTAATATATGTACAGATATATATATCTTCTTTAATCCTCAGAACAGCCTTGCAAGGTAACCCTTTCTACTGGACAGATGGAGAGATATATATGTGCGTCTGGCACAGTACATGAAATATATATATATGCTTAATGCTGGTTTTTATATTGAGATATATACAACATTATATTAGTTTTGGGTATACAACATAAAGATTCAATACATGTTTATATTGCAAAACAACCTCCACAATAAGTCTAGTTAACATCTGTCACCAAAATGTCCATCAGATAAATGCTGTTTGAACCAAGAAGATCAGCTAGGTTTTACTTTGGGGCAGTCTTTCCTCTTTCCATTTGTGTGAATTGTGGCCATTTCTTTACTGGGAGCCTTATCGGTGTATCTCCTCAAAAGAGAAGTCGAAACCTGTAATTTCATGTTTTGTTCAATATTCAAATTAAGCCCCCCAAATATTGATCAGTTAATCAGTAAAATACAAACTGGTTCAACAGCAGAAAGTCACTGGCTGAGATAGTGTCTCATCTTGACTCTCTGGAAAAACTGGGAAGAGTGCCTTTGTGAAGCCCAATGCCACACATCTGAGAGCCCTTCCTCTGGGCAGGTGAATTACTTACCTGGCAATGTTAAATGTCAGCAGGATACCAAATATATACAAAGGCTCAATTATAGCATATTTACATATGCAGTAAATGTAACTGTGACTTGTAGGGTTTTTACCACCATGGGAGTGAAAAGGGCCTTGGGTTATAATGGACAAGAAAAAAGTTTTCCACGGACTGGGCAAGAAAAGGAAAGAAAGTTACTATTTAAAGACAAAGTGAGGGGCGCCTGGGTGGCTTAGTTAAGTGTCCGCCTTCGGCTCAGGTCATGATCCAGGAGTCCCGGGATCAAGCCCTACATCAGGCTCCCTGCTCAGTGGGGACTCTGCTTCTCCCTCTCTCTCTGCTGCTCCCCCTGCTTGTGCTCTCTCTCTCTCTCTCATAAACAAATCTTAAAAAAAAAAAAAAAGGTGAAAAGGAAATTAGAAGATGGAAATGGGAGTAGGAGCTCCCTACTGATCCTAGAGACACTCTGCTACTTGAAAGATCATTTCCTGTCCTGAAAGAACTTGTATCTAGCAGAAGACATGTCTTGGATTTTGAATTGCAATAGTCTGTCTGTATCTCTGTCTTCCCCTAGATAAAAGCTTTTTATTTTTTAAAAAATAAAAGAGTGTACATGTTTTTAGAATTCTTGCACTCTGGTGTTTTCTTGGTTGTTGATTTTCAGTTTTTCAGATTTCCTTAATTCACACTTTTTTTTAAAGATTTTATTTATTTATTTGACAGAGACACAGCAAGAGAGCGAACACAAGCAGGGGGAGTGGGAGAGGGAGAAGCAGGCTTCCCACCGAGCAGGGAGCCTGATGCGGGGCTCCATCCCAGGACCCTGGGATCATGACCTGAGCCAACGGCAGACGCTTGACGACTGAGCCACCCAGGCGCCCCAGTTCACACTTTTTTGAGTATATTTTGCTAGTCAATTGACTCCTTTATCCTTCATTATTTCTTTGCTTTAATTGGAGTCATCAAAATTGTCTACCTTGTGGTACACCAAATTCTTTCATGTGTGCTTTATTCTTGTTTTGCTTTAGTTTCTATAGACGCCATTGGCAGAGTAGATGGCCAGCCAAGTAGGTGATTCCCTATGGAGGAACTTTTATTAAATTGCAGATTCCTATTCTAGGAATAACATTTTATCCATTTATTCAAGAAATATTACCTATCATATCCAAGCACTATGCACAATTGCTGGGATTATCCAGTCTCTGTCTTCATATAGCTCATTGTGCAGTATGGGAGACAGACAAAAAACAACTTGGAATTTTACCACTGATGAGTTCTGATGAGAAATGTAAGTGTTCACAGTTGCTTCGGGAGCGTGGAGAGGCTGGGGCTGACTGTCTTCGTCTATGTGATCAGAAAGCAACCTATGAATTTGCGACATATGAAGAAGTAGGTAAAGGACCTTCTTGACAGAAGAAATAAATAGCATTTGCAAAGTAGAAACAGGATGATGCTTTGTACCTTGTACGTTGAATTAGATCTAGACACTTCTCAACCTAGATCTTGGAGTTGAACACATGTTGGAATTGGGAAGGGGTGGAGCATCTTTGGGTCACCGAGAGCCTGCAACAAGGGAAAAGAGGTGTTTATGACCCTCAATTTTTGACAGTTTTGACTACAGTTACACTTGGACCTAAAGAAGGAAGATACATTCCTATACTCTATGAATTTAAAATCTAATTTTACACATATTTTGAAAATTAGACATAACACAATCATTTAGTTCCACCTCTGTGAAGATAGGCCAGCAGGAGCCGTTCAGGCTTACTGAGAACTGCTGTTACTGTATAGACTTACACGTTATCTTGATCAATATGGAAATGTTTACTTGGTAAACAGTTTGGAGCCAAGTTGAGGCTAAAATCCTGAATACTTTCTCATGCATTTGTTAGTGTGTTAAAAATTTAAAAAGCAGGGTGCCTGGCTGGCTCAGTTGGTAGAGCAAGCGACTCTTGATCTTGGGGTCATGAGTTCTTGTCCCATGTTGGGTGTAGAGATTACTA